TCCTTCAACATTCCGTACACTTCTAGACCCTCCTTATCCTTGGATTCTTTACTTAGATTATGTTCTTCTCTCTCGGCACAAGCAATAGATATCTTCTCCTTGAACCCCTGTAGACCCTCCGTTTCCAGCGTTTCATCTTCGTCGATGTCGAGCCCCTTCCATACGTCCTCTACAACCTTGACCCATTCCGTGGGTTGTCTACCCCTCTTTTTGTTTGCCCACTTCGCCTCCCATACAATTCTCGGCAACCTCTCCTCTCCCATCCCGCACATGCGATACTGCCATGTCAGCTTCCTCGCGTCTCTTCCCGACCGTAGGGATTCAATCCCCAAATCTGCCCTGACGGCTGCATCGCTTGTGCGCTTGGAGAATCCTAGGATGATTTTCGCTGCTTTCATCTGCGCCGCCTCGAGTTCTTTCACTACCTTCTTATTTCCTTCCCATACTTCTCCGGCGTACTCTAGCGGCGGTACGATTACGCTCTTCAAAACCGTCAATTTGATGCGTGTATCGAGGTNTTTCATCTGCGCCGCCTCGAGTTCTTCCACTACCTTCTTATTTCCTTCCCATACTTCTCCGGCGTACTCTAGCGGCGGTACGATTACGCGCTTCAAAAGCTTCAATTTGATGCGTGTATGTATCGAGGTGCCGCCGGGGGGTGGGGGGTGGGGGGGTACTCATAGTCGTGCATGCAGTAGTCGTTAGACCATTGACCTGGCATCCCTACAAAGCCGGGACGGAGCTGGGTTCTCACCGTACCAGGCTCTTACATCACCAAGCACGAAGCGCCGTGAGGTACTCGGCTAGTCGCATGAAGGGTGCGCTGCATCCTGCTAAGGTGTTCGGCATCTTGTGCTTGCTTCCTTGCGCCCGGATGATAGCTGTGTATGTTTTAATTTATTTTCTGGTGCTTTCACTTCTAGAGACAGTTATATGCACTGTGTAACTCCCTCTATAATAGGGTGTTTGACCATTTAAACCACAACGTGGTGCGATCATGCCCTTTGCGCGGAGCGAGGGTTCTCGACCCCGTACAACATTATCTACTCGACCACCATTCATGGTATCGGCGAAAAAAAAAATAGATGCAAAAAAAAAAGCGGTAAGTTGGTTGCCATGCGACGAAAACCCAACTCCGATGGCAAACACCGAGGGAAGGGGGGGTCAAGGTGAACAGCGATGCGCCGACCGCGCCGAGGATCGGACCGGTCGGTGCTGGGGGGGAGGAACGAGAACGGGGGAGGGAGTTGGGGGGATGCAGGGTGAAATATTGATAGCAATGTTTTTTCTTTTTTGCCCATTGCGTCGTGTGGTTTGGTCGACGCAAGGGCGTTTGCTTGTTCGGAGGTCGTCTGTATATACTTCCTCTGTATCATAAGTTAGGGTACCTAAATGCAATAGATTGTTTGGGTGCAACCGTGTTAGTGATGGTAGCATAGTCGGGTTTGTAAGAAAGATATAACAAAGAAGAAGCGATGGAAAAAAAATTAAAAAAAACGAACATCTATTTCTGTACCTACTATTGGTCAAAATGTACCCTATTTTGGCCTGTTTTGGGAATATTTTTGAGAAAATATTTTGGGATATTTTTTGAGAATTCTCGACAAAATTCTCAAATCCATTTTACTACCCTACTCTAACGATGGAATCGCCCCCCAGCACACCACCTCGCAAAAGGGGCACCGAATTATCGGTTGGTAGGCGCTATGCCATGGCGGTAGAAATTGCGATGGGCAGTCAGCCGGGGTTGTCAAGGATTCCCAAGGGCGTGCTTGACCCGATCTGCGAACGCTACGGTGTTGGAAAGAAGTACCCGTCCAAGTTGTGGAAACGGGTCAAAACCCAGATCGACAACACCCAGGAGCTTGACCTTTCAAACGAAGCAAAGTGGGCGGCCGTCGCTTCTCACCCCTTCAAAGATTGCGGCGGCATCGAGTCCAAGTGATGATGAGGAAGAATAGTCGACTTTTTCTTTTTTTTCCCCGCCACCAACCAACCCTTCTTTTTGTCCCGCAAGTGTCTTGATTTTAGTGTGACCCCCAAAGTGTCTTGGTTTTAGTGTGTGACCCCCAAGTGTATTGGTTTTAGTGTGGTTCACTACTATACTGATTTTAGTATAGGGGGCGCGACATGGATCGTTGAGTAGAGGGGGGGGTTGGATGAGGGCCCTACTGTTGCTTGCTTTGCCCCGTAAGTGTCTTGGTTTTAGTGTGGTCCCCCCAAGTGTCTTGTTTTCAGTGTGGGGGCCACTATTATGCTGTTTTTAGTATGGGGGACGCGTCATGGATCGTTGAGTAGAGGGGGGGCTAGGTTTAGGGTCAGGGATAATTCTTGGTATTTTTGCCTTGTTTTTGTCATTGCCCCGCCCCCCCCGCCTGGTCGGAGGGGGCAGAATACATGCAAAATGCGGCCTTTGTCAGGCCGACTGGTTTTTCTCGGGCGCTCATGCACGCGGGGTGGCGCATGCATATATTTTAAAATAAAATAAATGTTTGTTGGCTCAAAAAACTCCGAAGATTTCAACAAAAAAATCGAAAAACAGATCGGACACGGTTAAGGGCCCGTACAAATTTAGGTACCCTAACTTATGATACAGAGGAAGTACTTCCTACCGAACGTCCACCGAATAGAGTGGTTACCTGCCATACTTTGTATCCTAGTCTCCCACCTATTTCTTTTCGAGTAGCGTGTCGCCCGGAAGGTTGACACTCTGCGCGAGGTTGTCATTGTGAGGGTTGTACGCATAATTCGATCCCCTGTGCTGCAGTGCCTTTTTTCGCTGCAGCAGTGTGCCTATATCACGAACTCCACCACTACAGCGGCCTTCCGAGAGACAAGATAAGTAGCCGTTCCGTTTCATATGTAAGGCCTGACTCCCTCATCCGTAACCGTACCGCCGATGGGATGCAGGTGGTCTACCGGGAAGGAATTTTTGTGCGGAGCAGTCCTAGTATCGAGGACGGGCGGATAGTCCGAATTGCGCCGTTCGGGACAGTGCTCAAGGCCACCGGCAAGGTGAGATACTAAGACAAGAATTAGGCAAGACCCGGTCTTATCAAGACAAACTGGTGTTGTGCCGGGCGCGGGAAGGGGTGCGTGCGATATTTGCTGGTGCGTTTTCGCGTGGGTGCTGGGCCCTGGAACGGACGGCGCATCTCGGTTGGAAGACTTGACGGCATGATTCGCTCGCCGCTTAGCGCGGTCGATGCTGATTCGAAACACGGACACACGGGATAGTGACGCTAGCATTAGAGAGCAAGACAATGCAGCGACAATGCTGCCTGATAGTATTGAGTCTTCTCCTTGTACTTGAGAGCTGCACTTTGTCGTCCAACTCGTGCGCCCCCACCTTTTTGGTAGAATCGTTACCCTTGGCCTTTCAGTAGCAAGTGTTGGTGCTTTTTTATCCCGCTGCAAGAACGACGTCTTTTCATCGGTCAGCCGCTTAGCGCTGTGGATGTTCATTAAGAAAACACGCACAACATACTCATGTCTTGTCCTTAACCAGCCGTTTTGTGCGGTCGACGCCATTATTATCATCAACACACGCAACACACACACACACGGTCCTCCGTTCCGTTGCCCTTCGTCTTGTCTCCCCGCCCGAAAAATCGACCATGCAGACGGAGATTTTCGACGCAGTAGAGAGAGTAGAGGTCGAAGACGGCTGGGTTTCTATGCGCTTGAGGGAAGACAAGGGGTCAGGGGCGCCGTTGCTCATGGCGCTAAACTAGACCCAGAGCGGGATCGAATCAAATAGTGTTCTCCGCTGGCGTTTGCCGGCTGTGTAGAGAGTCAGGGCTTGGAAGGTAGAGACGGCGGTGGGTTCAATCTTACGTTGGCCGCGTGTTGTCTCGTGCCGGTGGCGGTAGTCTTGTTTGTGGGCCGGCCTGTTGCCCTGTCGTATTAGTTAGGAACGTGCTTCCTTGTGGAGAACCCGGTGGTTGCGCTATGAAGATTGTTTCTTGGGCACTCGATCTATGGGCGCCCTGGATGCAACGAGCACGGTAGGATTTAGAGTGCACTGTTGGTGGCGGTGTGGGTTGGAAGAGGAGTTGAACGGGAAATCACACCAGGGAACAGGCGCACGCCGAAAACCACTCAGACGAAGAATTGAGTTTAAAAAAAGTTTCATGGTTATCCTCCCGGGCATCTAGTTGGAGTTGTGTTGCTGGTTTTCGTCCCCTGGTTGTTTTAGCATGGTTTGTTGGTCTTGTGGCTGAGGTTGTTGGTTGTGTGTACTTGTGCGTGTCTGAGCTTTTGTTGTTTTTTTACGGTATCACTGACTGACTAACCAGTGTGGTTTTGTTGACAGTAGTCGTTGTTATCTTGGGGGGTATGTTTGATACGGAGTTAACGCTCGCCTGCAAGAGGTTAGGTGACACTCTCGCCAAGGACTGAAGCAGTAGGGTATGGGGCAGTACCTTCCTGTCCCCATGAGCTTTGTTCCCTCCGGTTGTGGGGGTGGGTATGTCCCGACTACCTCGCCGCTAGTGTTGTAGCTATCAATTGATGTCAGCAGCAGGGGGGAGGGCACATGTGTTGAGTTTTTGTTTGGTCTCATTTCGGGAGGGAGCTTTCGGGTTCTTGGTGTTATTTGGTTGTTGACGCTGACACACATAGAGTGTTCTACACGCTGTGGAATGTACGACCGTCTCGGAGCATATCTAGATGAAAATACGTGCGCATCGTTCGTCATGAAGTACAATAGCCATTAAATATTTTGTGTGTTGCACTCACTCCCGTCCTGTAAAATTTGCTAAATCTTCTTTGTATACCTACATTTTAGTATCAGTAAGGTGAGTCCCTTTCCAATCTTATTTTCTGCGAGAAGATTCGTGGCATCGGTCTGAGATTGGTATTTGTACAAGATTCCAAGCGTACGCGGCCGCCCCCCGCTCCGCAAAAATATGGCAACGAACAACATTAGGCTATTATTTTTTGTTTTTGTTGGAAAAAATCCTGGAAAATAAAAGATGTACGATTGAACGTGCCTGCAATGGATGCTATGTACTGTACGCTCTCTATGATACGGCTGTGGGGATGGCCTCTTTTAAACACGGGCGGGCCGGTCCTACATTTTGCATTTTTTCTCCCACTCTCGAGGACGAGTAAATTCTCCTTCTTCTCACATCATATTTGGCGTCGATGGGAGGAGTCTATACCATACAATTTACAATTTACAATTCAGTGTGCTCAGGTGTAGCGATGAAATACTACGATAGTACACAAGCACGAGCCCTCGCCACCCGAAATTGATCATTATTGCTATTTTACACAGCAGTTTTAGCAGTATTTTTTACGGTTGGTTGTTGTTGGTTGTTGTTATTTCTCACGTTAGCTCTTAAGTCCACAAACATGGAGAGCCCGTGGCCGCAAAAACCCGACACAAATAATATGTATTCGACGCCGCGGGTAAACAAAACAAAAATAGGGTACAAACTACTCGAACACTCAAAATGATGGAGAGAAAAGAACATCTACCGTACGAACCGGCGGAGGAAAGAGCCCTAGAAGACCGAACAAAATATAACAAAACAATGATAAAGATAAAAAGGAGGACGCATCCCACACTCGCCTAAAGAAATCAAAGGGTAAAACGTACCAACACCAGGCACTACGCACCTAGAGGAGTAACGGAGATAACAGAGCATTGAGGCGGCAGATGAATGAGCAGACAGCCATACAATTGTTCGGGCATGTATCGGGGTATATATTTTGAATATTTCTTGATACTTGTTGTGCCGGTTGAATTCTTTAGGTTGTTCGTGCTTCTGCACTCGTGAGCGTGTTGATCTCTTCAAAATACCCCAAATATACCCCCAAATACACCTCGAATATATCAAATGTTAGATATACCCCAGTATATACCCCCGATACATCAATATCCGAACCTGTTCTGACATTTCCTCAAATATCAGAAATATCAATGATGTCTACCTTATTCCAGCGGGGTGTAAGCAGGGCGCACTTTTCTTTTTTTTTCGACACCTACCCGACAAAGCTTTTTTTCAGACCTCTCCGGGGCGGGGGGGGGGGGGAAGGGNGAAAAATAGATGGGACGTACAGGGAGATGTTTGAGGCATGGAAGAGAGAGGAAAGGACGGTAGCTGTACTGACTGGGGCATATGAGGTGGGTTGAAAAGGCGGGAAGGGATATCGTTAGGATAGACAGACTAGGGAAGACATTTTTGAGCCACCTTTGGCATAGTACAAAGGAACGATTGGCCATCGGCTCCGTCCTGTCGAGGGCGCGTGGTCAATGGTCTAACCGCTAAGGCATGCAAAACACAAGAGTACGCCCCCCTCC